GTCTGTATCGTTGGCAACTGTGAAAAGTTTTACATTTATATTTGTAAACTTACCACATTCCCACTGTGGGAATGTAATTGACGTGTCCGTTGGCTCTACCGATTTTCATTTGAAAACAGCAAATATCTCATAATCTAGCACGAAGTTATGGCGATGGCCCAGCGTCCTGCCGTTGTCACAAATTATCTTGCATATACGCGTGAGTCGAAATAATGTAACTAATTGTGCAGGCCTTATAAGGGCCAAGTTGACATTTTCAGAAATGCATTTATTGGCTGCAAAGAAAACTAAGCTTTTAGTATGACTTAAAGTCAAGTGAAGTTAAGTATTAATTTTGCAAATTTTTGTAGCTGCCTATAAAGAACGGCGAATGTTTGCCATTAATGCTACAAGTAGGTCATTGCCTGATACTAGTTATAGTTAGTTGGTATTGCCTCGGTGAAATGGTTTTTCATGTGTCTGTGTAAGCCAACCTTTCAAATGTGTTGGATTGGTCATCAAAACCGTCCAAACGAAGTGCCTCTTAACCCACGCTTTTTTAACTCATAGATATACAGTTCGATGGCGCATCGCGCATATCTAACTGATGTCCAACAACTCTATCGGCTGATTGAGACGTCTACGAACGGTCAGGCGTCCATGATTTCAGTCGATGAAATGTCGGTGTTGATCTCGCTTCATCCCAAATCTGGTTACAACGCGCACGCTGATTTTGCTGTGGAAGTGAGTGCCTGTGAACCAAGTAGTGGTGATATTTCGGAAGTGAGAAGAGATAGTAGTGTCTGTTGCATCGCGTTTTCTCTTAAATGTTCAATTTTGTTCCTACAACGTTTTCGATTTTGAAACAGCAGAACCTACTTGGGTATCGTAAACACCAGCACCAAGGCATTTTTGGCATTTTCAACCAAAAGGATGTCATTACAGTGGCAACTGCACTTAAACAGAGCACTTGAAAACGGACCTGTGTTCACTCAGGGCTTTCTCTAAATACCTGCCCCAAGTTTATGAAAAGAGCTGCATTCAATTTGTTAGCAAAGGTACTGGTGCACACTGAAAATGTTTGCGTTTTCCAATCATGGATTAGTAGCCTTTTGATTGTGAGAAATGCGAGCATTTATTGTGTTTTGAGTGTATTTACAAAGTACTTTGTTTAATATGAATATTTTAGATTCACTGCCCCATGTCATATCCGAGAGACTGTCCATGGGTGACATTTAAATCACCAATCTTCCATCCCAATATCGACAATTCATCGGGCAGCGTTTGTCTAAACCTGCTCTATGATTGGGTTAGGTGCGTGTCAGATATAATTGTAAAACTGTGGTAAATCTGTTTATTGACTTAACCCAGGATAAACGTTGTCTCTTTTGAATGCGGGGTTGTATTTGTCAGCATTAAGCTTGTCCAATCCAACAGCACAATTGTCTACAGGCGTGTGGTTAGTGTTTGTGTTGGTTGAATTTTTAGCTCCTTCAATCTGCTAGATGTGGTAAAGGCTCTTCTTTACCTAATCGCCAATCCAAATTTCGACTCGCCAATCGGCCAGTTTGGATCCCTGGTGAACAGGAGCCTGCTAGCGAAGAAGACAATGCGGTTACTGGCTGGTCTGCCTGTGAACGGTAAACGGTTTGCGCCAAACAAGGCGTGGTGCGAATGGGCAGAGGCCAATGGCTGCCTTCCGACTGATGAGGAAGAGGGTGATGATGATGACGATGTTGCCAGTGGTGAGGATGTCTGTGATGTCGCTGCATTCGTGGTAGGTCAAGTGTGCTGCCTAATAGCCAAATCTAGGATCGATCATCTGTGTCATCACGAGGTTTGTGTCGTAGAAACCATTTTAATGTAATAACTGGTTGCTGCAAAGTTCTCTGCGTCAGAGTTTCAAAAGGGGCTTTACTTTTGGTCTTTTATTTCACATTTGACTGCTACACCTTTAATTAGTGACGAGTAGTGACTTCCTTCGCTACTGTTATGTAATGCACATTCACAACAGGGCATTTCAGTATCCGCATCAGTGGATCGTGGCATTGCACCGCACCCAAGAGTGCGCGTAGGAAGTTGCAATCCGTTATCGACAATTTCTATCACTTGAAAAAGAGATTTTAAACTAACTGCTGAACGAATTTCATTCTGCAGAAACGCACCCATATATTTCTTTCGTTTTCAATTCCAGGAAGGTGGCAGTGCAGAATGGGACGGTGGTGGAGCCGTGTTCGGCGAAAATGTCCTTTCCTTTGCCAACATTCGATTCCCCGTTGATCAAGACATAGAATCACAATTATCGGTTTTCGATGAACGCCAATATACAAATAAGTTGGTTGAGGCACAGCGCATTGTAATTTGGCCTCCCGCTAATAGTCCTAAGGCAAATATCCCCTCAGTATTCTACTACTGCGAACTTGTCTGTGATGGCTTCTATCAGAATGAACTAGTTAAACCTAGCAACAGACCGTTCACTGACGATATTGTGTTGCCCATGCAAAGCCATCTCAAATCGAGACAAAAATCTAGTCTTTGTCCGTGGTACAGCTTCTACCGCCAAGAGCACTCTTGGTCTCACTCGAATTTCACTTCTGTAATCGACCTGAGCTTCCTGTTTCGTGAGAAGACTGTTACCAGGCCGCGACGTTTGTTGTTGACCGACGACTTTTGTCCATGGTCGTATTGGGATGGACTAGGTACTTTCGGCATCTTGGAAGGGCTGTTTTCGGAGAAACCTCAACGACGCCGAAACTCGACTGGGAGCACATCTACAGAAAACGATGTAGGTGGCTATGAAATGGCGTTCCTTTTCAACACCAGTGATGATGAAAATGACGAAGAACTCACAAAGTTAGCAAACGGAGAAGAAGAGAAGGCGGAAAAGGACGATGTGTACATGCAGATTCAGAAAAAAGGGGATTTGGAGGAGATGGAAGGTGTTG